AAATCGAAAGGAGTATATTGACTGCACTGTTATATGATACATAGATGTATGTATATTTATATTTATGCATCTTGATGGATATCACGCTCAATCACAACAAACATCACACATTCATATATCTGTTAACAACAACTCATTGGGTTGCATAAAAATATCAAAGGTCGTGGTCGATGAAAAAGATCTCACCTCAGGTCCAATATTAAGCCCGGCACTGTTGGAAACCAAACTAGCAAAAAGCCGAGAAGTCAAGAACACCCTCCACCCTCACCTGTAAATGACCTCTAACCAACCACATCGGTTTCAATATATAATTATGTCTTGTAAATATAGTAGTGTGCAATCACAGTACTATACAAATCCTAATCGATAACAAGCTCACTTCAAATTTGATATATGCTATATAATAAAAAAGAGCTAATATGTATTTTAAATCTTAAATTATAAATTTAATATCAAATTTATATTTTGAACCTTAAACAATTAACGTTTAGGTAATTTCGCTTCCATCATTAAATTTAAACAAATGTCTTTCAAAATGAGGTTTTATGTACGATTTTTATCAAATGAGAGTAAGAGAGAGATGAAGAGTGAAATTTAGTAAAAATCGCACATTAAATTTTAATTTTAAAAAACTAACAGACATTTATTAAAATTCAATGGTGGAAAAAAATTAACTCAACTTTAATTATTTATAGTTCAAAAGGTACTTCTTAAAATTTTAAAGTTTAAATTGCTCCAAAACTTATAGTTTAAAGTTTAAATTACATATTAACCCTTAATAAAATATTTAATAACAGATTTGGGTAATAATCTATGAGATCGTGAGTTTAAATATTGCCACTAATGTAAATAACTTATTGGAAGGCACTCTGTAAGTATTTTGGTAAATGCTTTTTTAAGTTTGTAAGTATGTTCTGACTTTGATGAATTTCAAGACTCAACTCACAAAAATTATTTCTTATTTAAAAAAAGTCTAATAACGAACTTAAATTTCATGAGGTGGCTTTAGATAGAATAATAAGAAGATTGTACATACACAAAAAATGAGCCTCCATCACTTTTAATATATATATATATGGGCGCGCCTCATAAAAATACATTCAATCATTATAATTTCCACCGAATGGTTGCTCTCCTCAATTTTCGTGGATTTACTCTAATCAACAAGGTTCAAAAGAATGCACGTGAATATCAAACTGTATTATTTATCAGTATCTTTTTCTACGTTCAATCATGATTGATTATTTAACTTAAAATGGAAATTATAATTCCAAATTGACAATGATATAATTTAAAATTTAAATTTCATTTAATACTAATACCATACAATAATACATACTCTATGCCACAAGATAATTGTCACAAGCATAACAAGCTAAGTCCTTGACATTAATTAATTAAACTACCAAGTCTTATCATACATGGAAATTCCTTATCCCATAATATTTGTTTGGGCCCTTAGAAATATCCTCTCCCTCTTCTAATATAAGCAAATTTTAATTAACTCACACAATTTGAAAAAGCATTTTAGTTTAGTAATTATATTTGAAATTAATAAATTAGACTAAAATATCCTTGTAATTTATCTTTAATATGTGAAGGAATCGTGCTTGTCTTGTGACCGAAAAACTTTGATTTTATGTGGGACAATTTGAAAAAAAATTAATAAATGCTTAAATTTTACTCATTTTATCTCAAATTATGAAATGCTATTGGATAAAATCTCATATATCTATAAATTTTATTAACTACACTTAACAATTTTTTTAAAAAATAAAAATATAAACTTTTAAAATATTCTTATTTCATTGAATATATTGAAAAGAAAAAGTAATAAAAATTAAATAGAAAGAGAGATAATATTAAAATAAGTCAATTCAATAAAATCTTAATTTTATTAAAATATCTTATATTTTAAAATGTGAAATATTTTTTAATTTTTTTATAATTTAAGATAGACAGAGTATAATTTTACTTATATATGAAAATAATAAAACATGAGATAGATTCTCCTATCTTAAAAAGGAGAGGGAGTAGTTTAGAACCACACATTTTATAAATCAAAGCAATGGCTTCATTGATTTCGGTTACTTAAAACCAAATCTAAAACGGGAGGTGGAAGATATACACAACAAAAAGAATGTCTTGACTCCTGAAGTACTTACATAAACTTAAGAAGAGGAAGGAGATTGAGAGGTTATGTGAGAGAGAGAGAGAGAGAGAGAGAGAGCGGGAGGGAGGGAGAGGGTCAGTCACCCAATTACCGTCGTCATCAATGCAACGCCTTTCCTAGAATTCCTTACCCTGCGCGACGGTCAATGAGTTTGAACTTTGTTTCTTCCTAATATGTCAATAAAAGGCTTCGATTCCCAGCTACCACCCTCACCGTACAAGCCACGTGGACGCATCCCAGTCACCCAGGCTCTCTTCTGTTCACCTGCCTCGTTGAATTATATAATGCCTATTTGACGTTCTCGCCGATCTCATCTCCCCACTCCTGGATTTTCATTGGCCCGGCTGTAACTGACGGGTCCAATTTCTTCTTTTGTTTACTTTTTCCAACTCTTAATTTAATAGCTACTACAGCCTGCATCGGGAGTAATCTCTCTTAGGCAAAACTTTTAAATGATTTTTCCTTTTTTTTTTAAGAATCACAATATTTTTTAACAAACAGTTTTTTATATTTTTTTTAACTATCCTTTACTAATATAATATCATTAAATTAGAGGAACATAAGGATGGATTAATTACAATGATTTTTTCAGTCTAAACTTTTCAACTTTATATATAATTGTTAAGATTAACCATCTTTCCTAAAGGATATGAGTTGATTAAGATTTACTTATATCTAAAAATAAAAGGTTTTATATTAAATAAGAGAAATTTGATAAAATATACTATATTTTCACATATTTATTGCATTTCTTAATTTATACTGGTATGCAATAATCTTAGAACACACATATAATGAGAGAAGGAGGGAATAATATTTTTACAAGCAAACATTTATAAATTATTTTTTACTTTGCCATTAAATCTCAAATTTTTATAACCGAACATTTATAACAATTTAGATTTCCAGCATATTTTAAAATCATAATTATTTCGTAGGTTTTCATTAAATTTTACGGTATATTTTCTAGACAGCTTATAGCTTCTGAAATATTTTTATTGCCAAATTATTTCAAACTATACTTTTAAAAATACGAGTTATCAACCACGCTATGTTCTCGTTTATGAGAAATATTTTAAACTCGCTTTAGAATTTAGTATGTACTATATTAATATCCTTAATACATACGTATAGTAGTTTATATTACTAAAATCTAAATTGTATTTTTATGTACGGTTTAAATCTTAAGAAAAAAATATTTTAATATATAAAATAGATTAAAATGAATAAAATAATTAATCATATTACAAAAATTTAATAAAAATAACAGATTTCAGTCGCTACAAACATTATTTAATATTTAATGATAGTATGTTTTAAAATTATAACATTTTTTGTATGAACAAAAATAATGTTTTTTGCCATTGATAACAAAAAATAAATTAAAACTTAGTATTCAAAATAAAAATATAAAAATATAAATAAATTTTAAATAATAAAATTAATTATGTTTTATATTTCATTTACTACATGTTATCCTCCCTCCTCATCTGTATTTTAAAATATAAGTATTTCTTAACTTTTAAGTTGCATTTTCGCCCATAAATATGCTCATCAGCCATCACCATGTTTTTGCCCTTTCTCGGTCTTTGAGCCAAAAGACTCGAAACTCAGTTTATTGGGTAGAGGAGAAGGCATACGGAGGCCCTGATGGTCATCGGCGCGACCGTGGACTCGTGGGTCCCACGTTCCTCTCTAGTGGGCCCCATGAATGCCACGTGGAAGCAGATGGTAGGCTTCTCCAAGTGGGAAATGACAGAAAGCCGCGTATGTGATCACAGGAGGGCTGGTCCACTCCCAAGAAGCCCTCATTAACTTTTTTTTTTTAAAAAAAATTTACCATAAAGAAAAATACTTTTCTTTTGCAGGAGTGTTGTTTTGAAACTTTATAACTCTACTTTCTAGACTTGGGAGTCCAGGTTCGACAAATCTAGGGGTTACGGCGTCTCGTACAGTCTCGAAGCCTTTTCCTTACACGGGACGAAGAGAAAGTTCAATTACATAAAGCAAAAGAGAAAAGGAGAAATTAACACTAAAAAATGATCAATTAAAATTATTTTGTGTTAATAATAACAATAATAATTATTTAGTTTATAATTTATAATTGTAATGAAAGAAAGAAAGAAAGAAAGGCTTGCACTTCAAGTTACGTTTTGTGGTCATGGTCTTAGCGAATAAATGTCCCACCACTCGGCGAGACTTTCCCGTCAGCCTGACGGCACGAAGACGCAATGGGAACGCTAGTAAAAGATGGAGAGAGGAGCGAGAGATAGAGGGAGAAACACAAGTTAGAAAAATCACAATTAAAGACCCAACTTCTAAAAAATTCATTTTAAAAAGCGTAACTATTTTTAATAATTAAATTTGATATCAATTTTTAAAATATTTTTCAAATTATTATTTCTTAAAAATAAAATAGAAATTTGATTATAACATTAAAGTAAACTTAACTTTTTTCAAGCAATAACGACAAGCAAGATCCATCCGTAAGTTTTTAGATTCTGGGTATTTAGGTGTAGTTTTATCCAGACAGTTTCCGCGTAGACAGATAGATGAGACCGCGAAGGGACTGTGAGCATTCACAAGTTAAAAAAAAATCAATAAATATAAAGATAAAGGCTCGAAGAGAAAGAAAAAGAGAGAGAGAGAGGAAAAGTTTTCTCAAATCTGAACGAATAATAATTAACAATATTAATAGAAACACCTAAGCAGATAGGAAATCAAATCTCGTCCTCCTCTTTTTTCTTCCCGTCTTCTTACACGATTCACACCTACCTGTTCACACTTGACACCACCATATATATATATATAATCTTTCTTACCCTTTCTCCGTCTTTTCTCTCTCCTCATCGCAGAAGTTAATTCCAATCCTCTCCTGTTTCTTCTTTTCCAAGTTCTACTTTATAAATCTATGCTTTTATCATAGAGTTCAAGATTTGATGTTTTAAATTAATGGAGGGGCATCATCTCCATCATCATCACCATCATCCTCTTCATCTTCATCGTCAATCACAACAGCAGCAACAGCAACATCAGCAGCAGCAACATGGTATTGTGGGTGGTGGTGGTGTTACGGTTAACGTTGATGTCGGAGACAGGTTTCCTCAATGGAGTATTCAGGAAACGAAGGAGTTCTTGATGATCAGGGCAGAGCTGGATCAGGCTTTTATGGAGACGAAGAGGAACAAGCAGTTATGGGAAGTTATCTCCAACAGGATGAAGGAAAAGGGTTACTTTCGAAGCCCAGAGCAGTGCAAGTGCAAGTGGAAAAACCTCGTCACCAGGTACAAGGTATCGAATCCACTGACTAAAACTTCAATCAAAGTATCAAACCCTCTTTCTTCATCAAAACCCTCTTCCTTTCCCATCACAAGTAAACTTTACACAGAAGTGTAACTATAATTTCAAGGGTCATTCTTGATTTAACTGTTAGGATCGAATTCACCGACGATGCTATATAATTTCTTCATGACCATCTCATTTTCATTCCTTAGCTAGTTACTTGTAAATAAAAGTTGGGTTTTCATGATCATAATCCCAAGTAAACCATTTGACATCTTTATTGAGGAAAAGTGTTAGCTACCTACTAGCTACCTACCTATCCAATAACAAAACTATATATTCAATATATGATATCTCACAAAGTATATTTAATTTCCCATGTTTTTGCCATCTGCATATCGTGCAACCTCTCTTATCTATCTATGTTTTGATGCTTCTGGTGAGACCCCGAGTACTATGTATAGATTATAGTATTCATGGCTGGTTACGAGGTTGATGCATCTTACATGGAATATTTATCTGTATATAATTGTGAGATTTGTTGAAGGCGTGTGAAACAATGGAGCCAGAAGCTCTGAGGCAGCACTTCCCGTTTTACAACGAGCTTCAGTTGATTTTCGCGAGTAGGATGCAGAGAATGCTGTGGGCAGAAGCTGAAGGAGGCGGGTCGAAGAAGAAGGCGCTACAAAATCTCTCATCAGAAGAAGAAGACGAAGAAGAAGATGATAACAACAAAGAAGTCAGTGAAGGAGATCAAAAAGGTACGAGTAGCAGCAGGAAGAAGAAGATGAAGAAGAAGGGTTTAAAGGGTAGCAATATCAGTAGCGTAAGTGATAGTCTGAGGAACATGAAGGAGATATTGCAGGGGTTTATGAAGCAGCAAATGCAAATGGAGGCACAGTGGATGGAAGCTTATGAAGCGAGAGAGAAGGAGAGGAGGATGAAGGAGCTTGAATGGAGGCAAACAATGGAGGCATTGGAGAATGAGAAGATAAAGATGGACCAGAGATGGCGAGAGAGAGAAGAACAACGAAGGCTTGTAGAAGAAGCTAGGGCTGACAAAAGAGATGCTCTCGTCACGGCTCTTCTAAACAAGCTCTCAAGAGATCACGACCTGTAGTTATGTTGTAGTACTATGTTTTGTTTTATGGCAAGCAAAAACGATGAGAGGCTTGTTCCGAGAAACTCTTTCTGGTCTCAGCTTTCTCATAGACCCTATGTTAATCGTTCTGTGTTGCCCGCTGACTCTTTCTTTAACCAAAGCAATGGAAGAAAACGAGGTTTTTGCACTGTGTTATTTTTCCCAGTTCACTCTGCTAGGTCTTTTTTTTTAATTTCTTTTCATATATAGCCAAGAAGTGAATTGAGGGAGAATGATTCGAATATATTGAAAACATCCTACTCAAGAGTAATCTTGGAAGGAATTATCAATTTATTTGGATTTCCAAGAAAGCTAATCAGGTTGCTAACTGACTAGACGTCTCGAGTTTCATTGAAGGGATTGTGTCCAGTTGATTGAGTCCTGAGACCTCCAATCCTTCTACCATCATTGTTGAAGTCAGGTCGTGCCGGAGACTTTGATCATGATTATGACTGATTGTTATTTCTTTTAGTTTTTATATTTTGTTTTGGTTCTATTTGTATTTTTCGAACCTTTTGTTCATTTTAATATAATTATTGTGTTGGCAACAAAAAATATATGTTGTAATATATATGAATTCTTATTCGTGTTTGGAATTGATTGAGGGTTATTCATATTGAAGAGAGAATGCTTCAAAGTTCAAGGAGACTGATTTATTCAGTGTTGAGTTGGTAGTAGGTGTAAGCATATAAAAGAGGAAAATTGACATTACCTAACGAGATGCGGAGAAGAATAGCTAAGATCCACAAAACATAGCGTCCATATATAATGATAATGGTAGAAATCATCATAATGCCCATTCCATTGACATGCACAGTCGCTTGTGGTTATAAAAAATGGGGCATTTGCATTGTGCCTCATTTCACAAATGAATAAAAGCATTGCAGTTTTCATTTTTTTTTCTTTTTAATCTATCCTATCATCAAAAGCACATTCTTAAACTTCATTTGAAAAGTTGCAAGTTAAAAGCACTATATTTAATTTATAACACTTTGGGGTGAAAATCAGCTTTTTGCAGCAATTGATGGGATGCCAAAGCTTTTGGAATTTTCAAGAGGAGGATGCATGAGAGGCATATTTGACAGCTAGCTGATTGTGTGTGCGTGCGTGTCCATGTGTTTATAAATGGCGTGTTTGCATGAAAAGAGATATGTATGTTGAAATTGACTTGTCTCCGCTGATCATAGTATGAACTTATGACTTTCAATTAATCTTGTTTGGGCTATGGAGGCTTCTCATCATGACATGCATATGGACCATCTATTTATTATATTCTCATTGAAACTTGTGCCATGTTTCTTTTTCTCCAAGCTTTTCATATATATTGTTTAGAGGAGAGGGAGAAATGCAAGATATTATGATAATTAAGTTGTGTGTCTATATATATAGTATTGAATCTTGATTTCTTTCGTGTTTTGACAGAACATTTATCAAAGAAATTAGATCCACGGTGCATTGTGCGGAGTTCGAACAAGTAAGTGCGCTGTTTATATAGTCAATTCCTTAACATACACACACCCAAAATTTGCAATATATGCATATGACTTGTTATGTCATGTATTTATATACATTGACCGATATATTGATTCACTAGGTATGGTATTTAAATATAAAGTTTCAAATATAATTTCTTAAAAGATAATAAGAAATAAATGGCCACCATTCAATTTTTCCTTTATTTGATCACCTTAAATGAATGTACTTATTTATTGGCCAAAAATAATCTAAACAAGCCTGGTAGGCTCTTTGCATCAAGTCCATATTATTCATGGTTTAATTCGTTTTAATGAACAGTACATGTTATATATACGTTGATAGTATTAATTAAAAAATGTATATCAGAAAATTGAATTAAGTTTGTGATATACTATAACTAATTAACTTGCGCATAATTGTATATTTATGTATAATCTAAATTATTCATATTTGATTTTCTTTTTTGGGTGAAGATTCACGTATGAAATTTCGCGAGCTTACTTATCGTGTGTTTTATAAGTTTGGTCTATAAACTATGAAGTGTTCTCATGGTAGCACATTAATTTAAAATATTATTTCAAGCACGGGATTTTTATTAATTAATTATTCCCTAACATTTTGGCTAAAATCGTTTTTTTTTATATATATCACCTGTTTATTTCAATAATGTTAAGACCTGCTAATCTAGTATCTGCACTATATCTATACGTGCCTGATACATATGCTTATTGTATATAGTACTGCCACAATCTGATTATTACATTGGTTAAATTTCTCTCCATTTTCTTTTTACCTGAAAATTTCTCTTCATTCACACTTTTGGATGTATTCAAATTTATATTCGACATTAGCTTGGAGTTTTGGTTTGAGCGATTGACAAAGCGCAGACACGTACACACGCACATAACTTTTTATTTCAAACTGGATTTTTCAACACAAACACAAAATATTGTGTACATATTTATGGAAAACGAGAATTTATAATGTATGGCATCGTACTAATAATGTACATGTTAATATAAATTTTAAGGCGAATGAACACAATTAAGATTAGGCAAAGTAGTGACTACCATGTCTGATCATTGCACAGCAAAGTTTAGACACAATTAACCAATAGGCGTTGGTTCTAGTAAAATGAATTGTGACCGTTTAATTACGAGTTTTTGAGTTCAAATCCATATAAATGTTTATAGAAGTACTTTAAACTGGACGGGACAATGTTCAAATTAGATTCAATCAAATAGTCACAAAAAAAATTAGGCACAATATAATTATATATTTTAAGAGAGTTTGTAACTGATTAACATAATGGATTTCCCAAAATTTTAATGCTTTTCCTTTGTGTAGATTCTTCTTAAAAAAAAACTATTAATCTATTGGTGGTTCAAAAGGAAATTAAGAAGAATGGACAAAAAGGATTAGATTCTGGTGTCAAAATACACTTTGAGATCTCTAGAATTAGACTTTTAGAATAATTCCAATTCTGATTTCTTAGGACTGTGCTAATGGGTCCTCTGAAACCAAAAGTAGAACAAAAACAAATCCTACTAACTATGCTAAATCAGGTGTTAATGATCTAATTTTTGCCGGTGAAACAGTAAAAATAGTACAAGTTAATTTAGATTATTGTGGAAGGAAGAACACGGATTTCCCAGAAACAACGTGCTGTCCAATTAATTAAGTAATTCATAATTTCATATCAAAACTGTCTATTCATTATGATATTGCCTAAAACAGTGATATTGTGACAATCTGTAAACGACGTCCCGTTTTGCTGTGTTTATCTCTTCATGATCCTGCTTCCTCTCCCCCTCTGCGCGCTCATCAACTTCATTTGTATAAACACGGCTAACATCCAAAAATAATCTACTCATTTGATTTTATTTATAAATCACTACTATGTCTTAAAATTTAATAAAATGTTAATTTTGTTCTTATTAAATATACATATTTTAATAATATATTTTCTCCTTTTAATATTTAATAGGGAGAAAAAGAGAAAATTTGTATTGAAAATTTAATGAGGTGATCACCTATAAATGAGATTAAAGAAAAACTTCTATTTCTACCATATACATAAAATTAGAGGAGTTTGTACTTACAACTGCACCTTCACATGAAGCTATCCTTCCGAAAATAAACATATTTATTTATTTACTTGTTATATGTTTTCATATTTGTGGGTAAAAGTTACGTATTCATGTTATTTCAGCTCGTGTTTTTTTTTTTAATGCACCTGTGTTTTATTCATATGAGAGAACAAATAATTAACAAGGTTTTAATAGACCATGTCTGATGACCAAAATATATTATAATGCCTTTGATTCTATGAAGGATTTCATCAGTCCTATTTCTTTAAATCGGAGTTCATGTTTATAATAGTAACTCAATTATATATATATATATATATATATAAATTTATTTGGAAACTTGGTCCTTGACGAGGTGTTTTCTAATTAAGTGATTTTTTTTTTGTTAAAAAAAAAAAGAAGGTCAGACATGACAACTAATTTCCACAAACGCGTTTCTCAGGTGGTCCAGTTTTTACCAACGTACGCAAGTATATAAATGAAATTTATATCACCGACTGTCTCTGTCGTGTCACGAACATTCTTACCTTTTTTTAATTCGAATGATCTTTCAACGATGTTCAGATCTAGGACTGCTTTACAGCCCACGCACACATCGTTCTTCGCTGTAAATTCGGTGATTTGTTTACCATACTGAAATAACCGCTTATTATAATGAGTTAACCAATGGGCCCAATTTCCAAAACGATCCCAAGTGTCCTGTTACCCGCCAGTGTTCTAGGAAAAGTCAAAACGTAGGTTAATGCTCATCCACAATTACCCACAAATTTTCCCCAGCACAATGTAATGCTCTTCCCATATTAAATTATATGACATTTTTTAAAAAAAAATTTGTCTTAAAATATAAAATATTGTAAATAAATTAAAATTTTATTAAATGTGTCAATTTTAATATTATCTTTTCTTTCTTTATAATTAATTTTCGTCCTTTTCCTTTTTAATATATTAAATTATGATTATTTTTAAAAATTTATATTTTTATCTTGAAAATATAAGATTGTTAGGCATATTTAATAAAATTTATTAGTATATAAAATTTTATTTAAATATATTTTATAATTTGAGATGAAGGGAGTATCACAAAATTCATTATTAATAATTGAGTACTACTTAGTAAAACAAAATGAAAACTATTTTTATTTTAGCTGTCTGATTTTTTTAGTTCCAGGGATAGGCCCGGTCAACAAAAACAATTACTCTATGTAATTTTATTTATAAGGTAGAGAAATAATATTTTTTTATGTCATTTATAAATCATTTCATTAAATTTTTAACATAAGTTTTTCTTTAAATATTAAAGAGAGAAAATATGTTATTAATATATGTATATATATATTTAATAAAGATAAAGTTAAAAACTTATTAAATTTTTAAATTTTTTAATTTTAATAAAATATATTAAAAATAATTTATAAATTATTTATAAGAGGAGTATTCCCCTTACAGTGAGGATGCAAGTAAACCATCCTATAATCAAGTTAATTCTCCATAATGTTTATCTCCTGTGTATGCTGACAAAATTATTAGCTAAATCTTTTAAAGTAATCGCAGATCTTTTTGGGGTGTTGAAATATTAGCATATATTTTTAT